CCTATACGCATTGACCACTCAGTTTGTTCACACAGTGATAAAGGCACATGATTTTGCATCACCTTGTGAACTGTGGCTGGGAATGCGAGTTAAACAAGCGCAAGATAACTTTCAAATGAGCCTGCCGTAAAGTGAGTCATTTATAACCTTTATTTTATTTAGATCAAGATCTGTGTTGCAAGAGAGACCACACCAGAGTACTGCAGAGAGAAAGGAAACATAGCAAAAGGACAAAAACGTTACCAGACAAACAAAAGGCCAGAAGGAGAGAAAACACAGCAGCACAATCCAAGTTTCACATAGAGATGTAAACTAATAGTAATGGTAGTGGTAACAATACTAATATCAATAAAATATATATAATGATGATAATATTTACAATGATAATAGGACTTATAATAATTGTAGCAGCGGGTTTCAAGAAGGAACATGGGGGGTATGGGGAGGCAGGAGGTGGCTTGCAATCATCGATCCAGACTCCCCTGCTCCGGAGACAGAAACACCTGCAGAAAAGCGACAGCCATCAAGAAAACAACACTACAGCAGAGGGAAGATCACAAGTTAGGAACATGCATTGATGAGTGGAGAAGTCATTGATACTGCAGTAGAAGACCCAACCTAAACTTTGTCCATAGCACTTCCACCATCAGTGGTGTTTTGGTGTCAGTTCGCATGTTAAATCAGTTTCCCCTGTCCTTATCCCACAGTGAAGCCCCTCCCCCTGTCTCCATTGGAAGCCCATCATCAGCGCCGGTGGGCGGAGCTGGCGAGCGGCAGGCCTTAGAGCTGCGGGTCCGGGCAGTGGAGGAAGAGAATCGGGCACTGCGCCGGGAGCTCAGCCGGCCACCCAGGAGCCCGTCGGCGCGCCTTCCAAACAGTGGTCACCGTGGTAACCAGAGCCGAACCCATTCAGAGGAGGGCACCGGTGACAATGAGGGTCAGAAAGCTGCTGCAGTGGGGAACAGCTCAGACTGTGTGCAGCAGCCAGTGGTGGATAAGTGTGAGGTGAGATATCTTCTCTGCACTTATGTCACTTTAGCAGGAAAAATGCCTTTTTTGTTCCATCTGTAACACACCACTCAAGGCCTTTTTTATTCAGCAATGCAATATGACCTTGAAGATGTTTTCTAGGAACCGGGGTACCACCAGCACATTGTCATACTATATTATAGCTTGCCTTTAGCTTCATATTAGCCTAATCCTCAGCAGTGATGGTGTTGGGTTGCTGTTGGGATATGGCTCACTGTCAGAAGGCTGGATAATGTGAAAGCTTTAACACAGTCATGCTGTGATCCCCATACTGATAGTACCGCCACATCACCTTTTTAGCTCAGTGGGAGTTTGTCTGGATAACTGGAATAGCCCACACTTACATGTGGTCTGGTGTCTTGGTATAGACTCAGGTTATTGGTTCAGTACCATGAAACAGGCTTACACAGTACTTCTCTGCATTAGCATTAAAACCATTTGACTCTATATTATTCATGTTTTACAACCTGGGCCTTGTTAGCAATTTGAATCTGGGGCCAGTTCTCATATGTGTTGCTATTGGATGGGTTAACTTGGTACAGACCTTATACCCCTCAAGATGAACTGTGGCAATCCTCTGACTTTTCCTCTAGCACAATTATCATGTCAATATGTACATTTGTTCAGTACTTTGTTTTAGGACCAAATACTAATGAAAAATCCCATCAGCCTCAGCTGTAATTTGTTTATTACAAATTAGCAAATGTTAGAATACAACATGCTAAAAACAGAAGGCGAACATTATACCTGCTAAACATCAGCTTAAGTTAGCATTTAGCTAAAAGCACAACTTCGCAGAGCTGCTGGCATGGCTGTAGACTTGCAGTCTGGTTTAAGTTTATTTAAACACAAACGCAGTGTTTAAATAAACAATAGCAATAGCTATATTAGCCTATAGACCTACTCACTTTATACATAAATGCATAACTTAAATAAACACTATTGATAAGGATTCCTTAAATGTATTTTTTCAAAGATAAAGATATGTGAGTGGGACATTTTTTAAGAATAAACTTGTCAGATCTCTCTTTTTGAAAAACTATGTAATGGAGACACTGCATATATTTGCCATTTCTGTATACATATGTCATTAGCCTAGCGGCTAGACAAGTTTGCAGCCAATTTACAGTTTAGTAAAGCTCTGTAAGTATAAGTTGAGGAAGTACCTCTTCAAGATCTAATGGATATTACAATAGGTAATTTTGGAATTGGTGCCTTGATTGGCTTTATCATTATCTTGTGCGATAGATACAAGATTAAAAAAGATCTTTCAGGACTTTAGGGGCTTTGTATTTAACTGCTTTTTAATTAGCTATAAGGTTAAAGGCTAGGTTTGGGGATATTCTATATTTTCTTATTGGTCCCCAAGTGTATTCCTGTTTAAGTAATGTTTGTTTTAAACTACAATGACTAGATGCTTTAGGAAATTACTGAGCCTTTATAAAAAATGAAACTATATATTTGTGACTCAGTAATCAAGGATTACACAGATTATTTCATCAATTCACTGAGTAATTGGATAAGAAATACTTTTGCTTAGCGCCCCCCGGTCGCGGGAACTCATGAACCAGTCGGAGAACAATAACAAGAAACGCACGCTTCTACATTTACACCTAAGAATTGGGGCTTACGCTTTGCGTAGACCGGATGCTTTCTGCTCACGTGCTGAAGGATTGCTCTCATGCTGTTGTGGTCGGTAGGTTCTGATTTACAGCAGACACACTGTACAGAGCTGTTGTTTTCTTTTAGCCTGAAATTATCCCATACTTTGAACACTTTCTGTCTCTTTCTCTGATCTTGTGACAGTGATAACTGTGTGTGCGAAACAGTGCGCTGAATAGTTATATGGATTAAACAAAGCATAGATGCAAAGAATTATTTGAATTTCTCGATAAATCGTTTCAGCCCTAAACCCCATAGAGAAGTTCATGGCTGATTCCCTGCCAGTCAGTCAGAACTAAAGAAGCCTCTCGGATGAGAGGCGAAACAACGCTTGTCCTTCCTTCCTTGACAAATAGGAGTTTATAGCTGTCATATGCCTGATTTACATCAGATATTTTAACAGAACTGTGTTGCTACTGAGTGGAAAAAGTGGGGCTGAGGCTCCTGACAACATTCTGTACTAAGAGAAAGAGACAAAAGAGTAAAACAAACAAAACTATGTAGATTTAGTAAATTATGTGTATATGAAATATTTACTAGAAAACTGTTGATGATAGATTCACACTACACTACGCATCGGTGGGATGAAACTACTTCAGTATACATTTTCATATTCCTGTATAGCACAGACAGAAGATTCTGAACTGATTACCGTGTGTTTTCTCACTGGCAGGTGTGTGATCTGTGTGTAGTTCTCCGAGAAAGGATATGCCCTGAGATGGTTTTCTTATGACCACTTGCTACTTTCCTCCCACTTCAGCTGTCACTCACACATAGTTCTTGGCTACAGCAAGGCACTGTTCAAAAGCCAGCCTACTGCAGGGAAAGCAGAAGTCCTTCGGGGTCAGAAGAGGAGAACTCAAGAGAGGACATTCTGACGGTAGCACCCTTCCAGCAGTGCTTGAACATGACCCCTTCTCATTTGGAGGGTTATCCCGGCTGCCCTGAACCCTGCAGGGAGAGTGCTGTAGGAACTCTGAGAGGGGAAAAGAAAATGCACATGGAGTTTTGACATGTCAACCTGACATCTGGGAGAGACATTTGAAGCTAAAATTGGAGCCATAACCCAGGGCAGTGAGGCAGAAGTCTAGCATAATGTTCACAGACTTTTAAAAATGTGCTATAGGAAAGGGATTCTTATTTAATCCCCATTGTCAATTAACATTCAACAGTCATTAATGAAATCCTTCACTAATGAGCGAGAGAGAGAATCATTTTTACATATTCCACGTCACTGAAATGAGCAGAAATCATACTAGGAAACTTAAGAAACCACTAATTGGATGGATGGATAGATAGATAGAGAGAGAGAGAAATTGAAATTTAACAATACATTTATTAGGAGATTCAAAAGGTTACAAAACTACAACAAGAATCAGTAAAACAAGATTCACAGAATCCAAATTATCTTGGTACACTTTCAAAGAGCAGCTCATCATCTACAACACAATAAAGAACATTCTTATAACACCACATACTGGAAAAACTTTCCAGATCCTTCATCATTCGTTTAAATGGGCTTTCCACATCTTTACAAACATGAACACAGCATCATCATCCACAGCTTTCTCTATTCTGTTTTTCATATAGACAGCCATCTTTGCTCTCCCCAAAATAAAATGAAAATCTGGCATTTAGTTTTATTCTTGTGAGAGTACCTGTACCCCAAAATAATAATAATAATCTTTATTTGTAGAGCACTTTTTAAAAACAAGTTACAAAGTGCTTTAACAAGTGTAAAGACAATAATACCCAAAAGACAATAATACAAAAACAATACAAGATAAAAGCAAGAAAACATTGAAAAGACTAAAATACACGTTTAAGATAAATATAAAATAAGGAAAATAAAATAAAAGGGATAAAATAAAGTCAAGTAAGATCAGGAAAGGCTCTCCTATAAAAGTATGTTTTTAAGAAGGGACTTAAGAGTTCACTGACTCAGCCGACCTGATTTCCTCGGGCAGGCTGTTCCAGAGCCTCGGGCCCCTGACAGCAAATGCTGTCCCCTTTAGTTTTCAGTCGAGGATCTCAAGGTACGTGCTGGTGCGTATGGGACTAAAAGGTCAGAAATATAACAAGGCGAGAGGCCATGAAGAGCTTTAAAAGTGATCAAGTCAATTCTAAAACATACTGGGAGCCAGTGTAATGAAGCTAAAATAGGGGTAATGTGGTCATATTTCTTTGTTCTGGTTAAAAGCCTGGCAGCTGAGTTCTGGACAGTCTGGAGCCGATCAGTAGATTTTTGGGTTGAACAAGTGAAAAGGCTGTTGCAATAATCCAAGTGTGATGAGATGAAGGCGTGTAAAATGGTCTGTGTCCTTAAAAGTTAACATAGATTGCATTTTTGCTATATTTCTAAGTTGATAAAAACATGATTGAACAAGCTTTGTGGTGTGCTGCTCGAAATTTTAATTACTATCAAACCAGACACCAAGGTTCTTTGCAACAGGCTTAATGTGATTTACTAGGGAACCAGCAGATGGCAGTATTTGATTTGCCATCTGCTGGGACCCAATGACCAGGATTTCTGTTTTGTCTGAGTTCAGCTGGAGGAAATTATTTGACATCCATTTTTTAACTTCACAAAGGCAGTTGTTAAGTGAACTCAGCATTCCAGGGTCTGTGGATCTGACGGGCAAGTACATTTGTGTGTCATCAGCATAAATATGAAAAGACATACCATATTTATTGATAATATGTCCAAGGGGAAGCAGATACAAGGAAAACAAAATGGGTCCTAAGACCAACCCCTGAGGCACACCATATTTAACTGGACAGAATGAGGAGACATAGTTGTTTACAGACACGCAAAACTTCCTATTTGACAGGTAGGATGAAAACCATTCTAGAGCAGTACCAGAGATCCCCACCCAGTGCCTCAGTCTGTCTAACATGATGTTGTGATCAATGGTGTCAAAAGCAGCGCTAAGGTCCAGGAGTACCAGGACTGAGCACATGCCTTCATCAGCAGACATTAAAAGGTCATTGGTGACTTTAAGCAGGGCAGTCTCAGTGCTGTGGTACTTCCTGAAACCAGACTGAAACCTTTCAGATAATTTGTTATTTTCCAGTACAGTGAGCAGCTGTTTGGACACAATTCTTTCTAAAAGCTTTGCAATAAAAGGCAGTTTTGAAATTGGTCTATAATTTTGTGGGAGGGAAGGATCTAAACCAGGTTTCTTTAAAAGTGGGTTCTCGCAAGCCGTTTTAAAATAATCAGGGACACAACCAGTAGATAGGGAGCTGTTAAAAACAGAGATCAAATGGGGCCCAACAGAAGCCATTACTTTCAGTAAAAACTTTGTAGATAT